TAATAATAATAATAATATATTTATATCCCGCTCTTCTCCCCAAGGGAACTCAGAGCTGATTACAGCATATAAACAGACACAGACAAACATTCAGTGCCTTGTCACAATGGAATACAATGTAACACAAATACACAAACAAAGGCAAAGGCTTCTCCTTTCATTTCTGGCTCTGGAGGTGGTGCTCATCTCTATTTCCAAGTCAAGGAGCCTGCGTTGTCTGAACGACCAATCGTGGTCGTGTGACCGGCATGACTGCATGGAGCGTCTTTTTGCCTTTTTTGCTATTCATCTACTCACCTTTGCATTTTTTCGAACTGTTAGGTTTCCAGGAGCTAGGGCTATGGGGAAAAATGTGGGCAATGTCTTATTGAAGTGGCACATTGGAAAAGGCAACTGATTTCCCCCTGCTTCCTTTCTCTCGATAGCTATCCTTGGAATGCACAACTTGATAAGCAACTCTCAATTCTGCGATATTGTGGGAAGCAGCAACGGAGTCAGCAACGAAGGTTTCTCAAGTGAGTACTCACGTTGGATGCCTAAAAGAAACACTGTGGGTTACGTTGGGAGGAGAGCCTTCCTTGAACGAGAGAGAAGGCTTGGGATGCAAATGGCAAGGGCAAATCCCATCAGAAAACATCTTGCCCAGAAAGTCCTATTTTAGTGTTGCCATAGGTTAGAATCAACTTAAACTCACATAGCAACAATGCAACGTTGGTGTTTGTTTAGATAACTTCGTCATGGAAAATTGTGTTGTGTTTCTTGGTGGGTTTACATATATTTATTTCCATAGGATGGGTGTCTCTGCATGAACACTTGCAGAACTGGGCCAAAAGCTCTGTAGCCTTCCAGATATTGTTGGGTTTCACTTCCCAACATCCTCAGTGGTCAAAGATGATGGAGGTTGTAGTCTACGTGCCATTGATTCCCCGGTCTTGTTGTAGAAGATGTTATAGCCAACATGTCTTTATGGCAGAAAAGTCTACTAATGGCCAAACGTGGTTCCAAGAACCCTCCTCCTCCACAAATCCTGGGCACCACAATTGAAGGGAGATGTTGACAAGCTGGAATGTGTCCAGAGGAGGGTGACTAAAATGATCAAGGGTCTGGAGAACAAGCCCTATGAGGAGCGGCTTATCTAAGAATTGTGTGAATTGTCTTCTTTGTCTCTTACTTCAGATATAGTCAAAGGTGAAAAGATGGTTCCTGTCTTTGATGAGCCACCAAACCCAACCAACGTGGAGCAGAGCTTGCAGAGGATCAAAGAGAACGATCCTCGGCTTGTCGAGGTTAACTTGAACAACATAAAGGTAACTCTCCAGAGGGAAAACCTATCCAAAGCAATTCCAGTTGGTTCCAGTAAACATTGGGCAGTGCTATAGGACCGCGGACTAAATATGTGAGCAAATAATAATGACGAAGTATTAGTAATGACATTTTTTTTGTCTTAATTCAAGAACATTCCAATTCCGACACTGAAAGAATTTGCCAAGGCACTGGAGAGAAACACCCACGTGGAGAGTTTCAGTCTTGCGGCCACACGGAGCAACGACCCTGTTGCGGTTGTAAGTTGTTGTTGTTTTTTTCCGTGTCAGGAGCGACTTGAGAAACTGCAAGTCGCTTCTGGTGTGAGAGAATTGGCTGTCTGCAAGGAGAGACAGAGGACGTTGCCTTGGTTGATTGTTTCCCCATCCTTGTGGGAGGCTTCTCTCATCTCCCTGCATGGGGAGCTGGAGCTGACAGAGGGAGCTCATCTACGCTCTCCTCGGATTCAAACCTGTGACCTGTCGGTCTTCAGTCCTGCCGGCATAAGGGTATAACCCCTTGCACCACCGGGTTGCAAGTGATGTGATGGATTTTGTGAATAATGTATATGTTTATTGGTACAATGGGTTAAACCCTTGTGCCTGGTGGCGCAGCAGGTTAAACCGCTGAGCTGTTGAACTTGGTGACCAAAAGGTTGGCGGTTCGAATCCAGGGAGCCAACCTAGCAGTTCGAAAACATGCAAATGCGAGTAGATCACAGTTGTCGCTTCTGCGGGAAGATAATACCGCTCCATGCAGTCATGCTGGCCACATGACCTTGGAGGCGTCTACAGACAATGCCGGCTCTTCAGCTTTGAAATGGAGATGAGCACCAACCCCCAGAGTCGGACACAACTAGACTTAATGTCAAGGGGAAAACTTTACCTTTATTGTAAGAGATGGTTGGGAGTCAAGGCAGGGTGGCAAGAAAAATGGACAGCAGCTTGAAATCCGTTGAGTATCGTCCAATTGACGACCTAAAAGGCATTTCCAGTACCAGTCGGTCCATGACCAACTTTGGAGGCAGATCCTGCTAGAAACAGCGGTTTCTAGATTACTGCAATGCTCTCTACGTGGGGTTGCCTCTGAAGACTGCCCGGAAGCTTCAATTAGTACAACGATTACTAACAGGAGCGGGGTACAGGGAGCACACCACTCTGTTGCACCAGCTGCACTGGCTGCCAAATAGCTTCCGAGCACAATTCAAAGTGCTGGTGTTAACCTATAAAGCCCTAAACGACTCGGGCCCAGTTTACCTGTCCGAACATATTCTCCCCTATGAGCCATCAAGATTGCTAAGATCGTCTGGAGGGGCCCTGTTCTCGGTCCCACCGGCCTCACAAGCGCGTCTGGTGGGGATCAGGGACAGGGCCTTTTCGGTGGTGGCCCCTCGACTCTGGAACTTCCTTCCACTGGAGACTAGAACTGCCCCTTCTATCTTGACGTTCAGAAAACAGGTGAAAACTTGGCTATGGAAACAGGTATTCAACGAATGAGTCAAGATCCTGTGATATGGATGGATGATGACGAACAATGATTTTAGGATGACGACTGACCACTGTAATTATGACTGTACTTGCTATTTTAATGTTTTAGTGTACTTTGAATTACGATGTTTTAATGATTGTTTGTAATATTGTTGTTGGAAACCGGCCTGAGTCCCTCGATGAGGTGAGAAGACTGGAATACAAAATTGCTAAATAAATAAAATAAATATTTGACCCTCTGCATCTGTGGGTTAAACTTAGATGTGATTTAGATGGAAATGTTGTCTCTAGGAATATCTAGGATGATTCCGTGGCCTATTTCCAGCAGATGTTGACCATAGATTTGTGTGGAAGGATCTAGCGAGTGCATTAATTCCATAGTGTATTTTTTTTTTCATGTCAGGAGCAACTTGAGAAACTGCAAGTCGCTTCTGGTGTGAGAGAATTGGCTGTCTGCGAGAACGTTGCCCAGGGGTTACCCGGATGTTTTACCATCCTATGGGAGGCTTCTATCATGTCCCCCACATGGGAAGCTGGAGCTGACAGATGGGAGCTCACCCCGCTCTCCGGATTCGAACCACCAATCTTTCAGTCAGCAGTCCTGCCAGCATAAGGGTTTAACTCACTGGGGGATCCACAATGTAGGTGGACATTTAGTGTCCAGAAATCAGCGAATACTCATTGATGGTGAAAGGTGCCAAGGGAAGGGAAGGTCTCAATTAGGACACTTTTAAGCATCCTCCAACAGCTTTCGCTTTTGCCTTTTATTGGCAAGTCCTCCTCCTTGCCTGTGATGCTTGTCTAAGTTGGTCCAGGCACAGCTGCCTTTCAGATTTCCATACCCTCTGAAAACATTGATCCTGCTTGTGTTCCCAAGGCCTTTGCGGACATGCTCAGGGCGAACAAAACACTGAAGAGCCTCAACGTTGAGTCCAACTTCATCACCTCCGCTGGGATCCTGGCGCTGGTGGATGCGCTTCGAGAGAATGAAACCCTCACTGAGATCAAAATTGATAACCAGGTAAGTTTAATTGCATAGTTAAGATTAACCATAGGCATAGGGTTACAGCCTGTGCTGGATGGGGTCGCACTCACCCTGAAGACGCAGGTTTGCAGCTTGGGTGTGACCCTGGACTCATCGCTGAGCCTGGATCTCCAGGTTTCGGCGGTGACCAGGGGAGCATTTGCACAGTTAAAACTTGTGCGCCAGCTGCGCCCGTACCTTGGGAAGTCTGACTTGGCCACGGTAGTCCACGCTCTGGTTACATCCCGTTTAGACTACTGCAACACTCTGTACGTGGGGTTGCCTTTGAAGATGGCTCGGAAGCTTCAATTGGTCCATGATACTAACAGGAGCGGCGCGCAGGGAGCATACAACTCCTTTGTTGCGCCAGCTCCACTGGCTACCAATTTGCTACCAGGCACAATTCAAAGTGCTGGCATTGGCCTATAAAGCCCTAAACGGTTCCGGCCCAAGTTACCTATCCGATTGCATCTCTGCCTATGAACCCACTAGGACTTTGAGATCTTCCGGGGAGGCCCTGCTCTCAATCCCGCCTGCAACACAGGCACAGTTGGCGGGGACGAGAGACAGGGCCTTCTCGGTGGTGGCCCCTCGGCTGTGGAACGCCCTTCCCACGGACATTAGATCGGCTCCATCTCTAATGGTATTTCGGAGAAAAGTGAAAACCTGGTTATTTGAACAGGCGTTTGAATAGGCAGTGCAATGAATATAGGAACGGAACAACGGATGACGAGTTTGGATCATGTTTTCAGTTATGAGACGCCAATGAGTGGTTACTGATGTTAATTGTCTTGTTTGTTATTATTGTTATTGTGTTAATTGTTTTTAAATATCTTGTTGATGTTAGCATTGAATTTTTGCTGCTACTGTTGTTAACCGCTGTGAGTCGCCTAAGGGCTGAGAACAGCGGTATACAAATAAAGCAAATAAATAAAGCAAATAAATAAATAAATAAACCATCTAAAGACAGGTTGCCAAGACCAGTATGGGTGGAATGTGGTTGCACATTTGTCACTGCGATTAAGTTTAAAAGTTTGCTGCATTTTCCAAGCTTCTTAGGAAAGTCACAAATCAAATCAAGCTCCCATTCAGGCCCAGCACTAAGCTTTTTTGCTTCTATTATCTGCAGGTAGGTTTATCCTGCCATCTTAATGAATCAAGCAGCTTGAAAGAAAATAACTTCCTTGGAGTTCAAGTCCCACATGGCCATGTTGTTCGGAAATTCTGGGAATTGCAATCAGAAAAGCTGACTTTGCCAAACATTGCAAGCAATGGGACAACAGAGACATAGGGATGAAAATAATAAGCAAGAACGCAAGGTCGAAACAAAACAAAATTTGGGTTGCTGTGAGTTTTCCAGGCTGTATGGCCATGTTCCAGAAGCATTATCTCCTGACATTTCACCCACTTCTATGGCAGGCATCCTCAGAGGTTATTATAATTTTTCCTAGTTTTCAACAGACCTCACAACCTCTGAGGATGCCTGCCATAGATGCAGGGGAAACGTCAGGAGAGAATGCTTCTGGAACATGGCCATACAGCCTGGAAAACTCACAACAACCCAGTGATTCCCGGCCATGGAAGCCTTCGACAATACATCAAACAATTTTTTTTCAGAAAATGTTGACAAGGAGATTCTCTTCCAACCTATTTTCCCATTTTTCTTCCTCAATTCTTTCAATAAATCCAAGGACTGCTGCAGCAATTCCTTCCCAGCCCAAATTCAATAAAATGAATGTAACATCTGAATAATAATAATAATAATAATAATAATAATAATAATAATAATAATAAAAACAACAACAACAACAACAACAACAACTAGCCATCCCCTGCCATGGCCCAGTTTATGTATATGTGTTGATATGACATGTGCTTTACTAATAATATAATATATTGTATATACATATAATATTTATAATATTATAATGTAATACAATATAATACTACTGATAATAATCCAATATTATAATTACATATTTTATATTGCATGTAATATTACTAATAATATTACAATATGATGGTATCGTACAATATAGTAATATAGTATTGTACTATGCTAATAATATAATATATTATTATTGTACTATGCTACAATAATATAGTATTATTGTACTATGCTAATAATATAATATATTGTATGTATATATATCTTGTAAGCCGCTCTGAGTCCTCTTTGGGGTGAGAAGGGCGGCATATAAATATCGTAAATAAATAAATAAATTGCCCAAATTAAATAATCTACAGCAGTGGTTCTCAAGCTTGCTAATGCTGTGACCCCTTAATGCAGTTCCATATGTTGTGGTGACCCCCAACCATATTATTGTTTTTGTTGCTACTTGATACCTATTATTTTACTACTGTTTTAAATTGTAATGTAAATATCCGATATGCAAGATATATTTTCATTCACTGGTCTAAATTGAGCACAAATACTCAATAAGCCCAAATGTGAATGCTAGTGGGGTTGGGGAGGATTGATTTTGTCATTTGGGAGTTGTAGTTGTTGGGATTTATAGTTCAGCTATAATCAAAAAACATTCTGAACTCCACCAGCGTTGGATTTAAACCAAACTTGGCACAAAGAACTCCCATGACCAACAGAAAACACTGGAAGGGTTTTGTGGGCATTGACCTTGAGTTTGGGAGTTGTAGTTCACTTATATCCAGAGGAGCACCGTGGACTCAAACAAGGATGGATCTGGACCAAACTTGGCATAAATACTCAGTATGCCCAAATTTGAACCCTGGTAGAGTCTGGGGAAAATACACCTAGACATTTGGGAGTTGTAGTTGCTGGGATTTATAGTTCACCTACAATCAAAGAGCATTCTGAACTCGACCAACAATAGAATTGGGTCAAACTTCCCACACAGAATCCCAATGACCACCAGAAAATACTATGTTTTCTGATGGTCTTTGGCGACCCCTTTGACACCCCCTCATGACCCCCTCAGGGGTCCCGACCCCCAGGTTGAGAAACACTGATCTATTCCTAAACTGTGTTGTCGAAGGCTTTCATGGCCAGAATCACTGGGTTGTTGTGAGTTTTCTGGGCCATATGGCTATGTTCCAGAAGCATTCTCTCCTGGCGTTTCACCCACATCTATGGCAGGCATCCTCAGAGGTTGTGAGATCTCAGACCTCTCAAGTGCTAGATGTGGGCGAAACGTCAGGAGAGAGTGCTTCTGGAATATGGCCTTACAGCCTGGAAAACTCACAGCAACCCATTCCTAAATTGCTGGCAGCCTTCCTTTGAGCAACTCTTCTCTCCAATACTAGTGTTGACTGACTTCTCATGTTTGCTGATCCTAACAGAGGCAGCAGCTGGGGACCCCGACGGAAATGGAGATCGCAAAGATGCTTGAGGAAAACACCAAGATCCTTAAGTTTGGGTATCACTTCACGCAGCAGGGACCACGGACAAGAGCAGCCAACGCCATCACAAAAAATAACGATCTAGGTACGGCTTTCTCTTCTATAGAAGCAATAGGTATTATTATACTAAGTCTGGTTAATGTTGCTTTGCATAAAGAGACCTCTTATAATATTGTAATACTGTCATCCTTGGAGGGTGGGGGATCCTTCCAGTTTTGGAGGTCTTCAAACAGAGGTTGGATGGGCATCTGTTAGGAGGTGTTGGGTATTCATTCCCACGTGGGGAGAAGTGGGACTAGATGGCATTTGTAGGCCCTCCCATCTCTATAATTTTACAATTTCACAATTTGAATGGTAGCCCTGCTATAATTTATTTATTTATTTGCAACATTTATATGCCGCCCTTCTCACCCCAAAAGGGACTTACAAGCTATATATACATACAATATATTATATTATTAGCATAATACAATATCAGCATTATATATTACTATATCGTATTATACCATTATATTGTAATATTATTAGTAATATTATATGTAATATAAAATATATAATTATCATATTATAATATATACACACACATATTATTATTATTATTATTATTAATAATATTAATATTATTAGTAGTAGTAGTATATATCGCCCTTCTCACCCCGAAGGGGACTCAGAGCAGCTTACAAGATATATATACATACATACAATATATTATATTATTAGCATAGTACAATATCAGTATTATATATTACCGTATTGTGCTACACCGTTATACTGTAATATTATTAGTAATATTACATGTAATATAAAATATATAATTATAATATTGTATTATTATTAGTAGTATTATATTGTATTACATTATAATGTAATAAATATTATATGTATCTATAATATATATATATATTATTACATTATATTATATACTGTATATACTCAAGTATAAGCCTAGTTTTTCAGCCCCCTTTTTAGGCTGAAAAAGCTTCCCTCAGCTAATAATATAATATATTGTATGTATATATGTTTTGTAAGCCACTCTGAGTCCCCTTCGGGGTGAGAAGGGTGGCATATAAATGCCGTAAATAATAAACAAACTGTCGCCAAACAGCGCTCTATGCAGTCATGCTGGCCACATGATCTAGGTCTGGAGGTGTCTACGGACAGCGCTGGCTCTTTGGCTTAGAAAGGGAGATGAGCACCAACCCCCAGAGTCGGACTCAACTAGACTTAACATCAAGGGGAAACTTTTACCTTTACCTATCTGTGTTCATTTCACACCTCTGTCCCATTGCCCACACATTCCTTCTTTTGATATTCCATTGCTGGGAAATCTTCCTTTGACTTGCTATTGACGTCTTGCCTTTTTTCTTGCTTTCCTAGCCGTAAACATTTCTGCAAATACTGCCTTTTCACCTCTTCAGCCCTGACCTTTCTGATGCGGGTTATTGCAAAGGCCTGCTTGGGTTCTGAGCACCGCAGCAAGAGAAATCGCTTTTAGAACCGCACAGGTCATATATCTCTATCTGTGTCTCCCGGCAGATCTGTGTACTCCCTGCTTGTGTCGCACTCTTTTGCACGTCTGTTTTGTTCACCACCAGCTTGGGCTGTCTTTCATTCAAACTGCATGAGTAGCTGAACATCACTAACCGTTCAGAGATAAAACATGAGATCAATTCAAAAGTCAGGTTTAGTAGAGAAAATAGGGACCATGGTGGTGCCGCGGGTTAAACCGCTAAGCTGCTGAACTTGTTGACTGGAAGGTTGGCGGTTCGAATCAGCGGAAAGGGGTGAGCTCCCACTGTTAGCCCCAGCTTCTGCCAACGCAGCAGTCCCTTTGTACTGAACATTTTTTTAAGTGAAGGGGAAGTTTCCTTCTTAGATAAGAATCAAGGCACAGAACTCACATTGAATCCTAGAGTTGGAAGAGACCTCATGGGCCATTCCAGTCCAACCAATTTGTTACATCAAGTTGGTAAGTATATATACTGACATTCTACTTACTCGTTTATCGAAAAAGGCTCGTGTATCAAAAAAAGCTCAAAAAATCTATTTATTTATTTATTTGGAAGTTTTATATACCGGTCTTCTCACCTCCAAGGAGGGACTCAGGCCCGTTCACAACATGTGGTCCACACTCTTGTTGCATCCTGAATAGACTACTGCAATGCACTCTATGTGGGGTTGCCCTTGAAGACTGTTCGGAAACTTCATTTGGTACAGCGAGCGGCAGCCAGATTGTTCACCGGAGCGTCATACAGGGAGCACACCACCCCCCTGCTGTGTCAGCTCCACTGGCTGCCGATTCAGTTCCGAGCACAATTCAAGGTGCTGGTTTTGACCTACAAAACCCTTTACGGTTCCGGTCCAGTGTATCTGGCCGAATGTATCTCCCTCTACGTCCCGCCTCGGAATCTGAGATCATCTGGGGAGACCCTGCTCTCGACCCCACCGCTATCACAAGTGAGGCTGGTGGGGATGAGGAGCAGGGCCTTCTCAGTGGTGGCCCCTCACCTGTGGAACTCACGTCTGGGGGAAATTAGAGCTTCAACATCCCTCCTCGCCTTCAGGAGAAAGGTAAAGACGTGGCTATGGGACCAGGCCTTTGGGCAATCTGACAATTAGATATGGACAACCAGCTGGATAGGACTGAAAGGACTGACAATTGTGGCATTGGAATGTGAACTATGAGATTGTGAAATGCTGACCATCAACGAGGAGAAATGGTTTGTATTAGTTTTATTGCTTTTATTGGTTTTATGGTTGTTTTGCCTATAATAATTGTTGTTTTGTTAATGGATGTTACTTCTAGAATTGCTGGTTCTGTTAACCGATGTTAGTGTCCTATTGTTGTTATGTGATGCGGGCATCGAATTGTGCCTCGCTATTGTAAGCCGCCCTGAGTCCCCCTCTGGGGTGAGAAGGGCGGGGTAGAAGCAACCAAAATAAATAAATAAATAAATAATGTGTTCATATACAGTAATATAGAAAATAGCACAATGCATCATCATTATACATTAAAATATATGTACAATAAAAACATCATCATCACATTACACAAGCCAAGTCGTCAGTACAGTCACAATTCGTCGCCATCCTTCCATGTGGACAAGGGTTATTGACTCGATCCTCAAATGCCATATTCCAAAGCCAAGTTTTTATTAGTTTCCTAAAGGTCAGGAGGGAAGGAGCAGATCTAATCTCTGGTGGGAGGGAATTCCAAAGCCGAGGGGCCACCACCGAGAAGGCCCTGTCCCTCGTTCCCACCAAATGCGATTGCGAAGATCTTATTAACCTTGATGGTTCGTAGGGGAGAATCCGTTCGGACAGGTAAACTGGGCCGGAGTCATTTAGGGCTTTATAGGTCAAAACCAGCACTTTGAATTGTGCTCGGAAGCTAATCGGCAGCCAGTGGAGCTGGCGTAACAGAGGGGTCGTATGGTCCCTGTACCCCGCTCCTGTTAGCAATCTGGCTGCCGCACGTTGGACTAATTGAAGCTTCCGGGCAGTCTTCAGAGGCAACCCCACGTAGAGAGCGTTGCAGTAGTCTAAACGGGATGTAACCAGAGCGTGGACCACCGTGGCCAAGTCAGACTTCCCAAGGTACGGGCGCAGCTGGCGCACAAGTTTTAATTGTGCAAAAGCTCCCCTGACCACTGCCGAGACCTGTGGTTCCAGGCTCAGCGATGAGTTGAGGATCACTCCCAAGCTGCGAACCTGCACCTTCAGGGGGAGTGTGACCCCGTCAAGCACAGTCTGTAACCCTATGCCCTGTTCGGCCTTTCGACTGACCAGGAGTACCTCTGTCTTGTCTGGATTTAGTTTTTTTAAAAAGCACTGTTTTTAGTGAAAAAGTACTGGAACTTGGTGAGAGATGTACCGGGTTGTGAGAGACACCCCCCCCCCCCCCCCCAATTGCTCATAGGAGAACACAAAACATCAGGGATATTTTGATTCACTCAGATATAGACCCTAAGCGAGTGATCACTAAACCTATTGTAATAGGAAACTATGCCTGTCATCATTGTTCCATATGCTCACAGTTCGTACAAACTAAGTTCTTTCAGAACCAGCACACTAAAACTCAATACAGAATCAATCACTTTGCTACCTGCTCCACCGAAGGTGTAGTATATGCCATCACATGTCCCTGCTCATTTATTTACATTGGTCAAACAAGCAGAGAAGTCAGGCTCAGGATCACTGAGCACAAAAGTAGAATCAGGAAACATTCCACTGATTCTATTCTGTATAAGCATTTTGTGGACCTGAACCACAGCCCTGAATCATTCCAAGTACAGATTTTAGAGGTGGTTACTCCACCCAGAGACACTGATTTCCAAACTGAACTTCTCCAATGGGAATCCTTCTGGATCTTTACCCTGCAAACAGAACATCCAAAAGAGTTAAACAACACCAATTCATATGACTGTTTTTTATAGCAGAGTAGGTTTTACCCCAATGTATTCTGAACTGATAATGATGTCATTATCACCTGACTAATGGACTTGCTATATTAGTAATGGGTTGAGTTATTTTGATCCTATACTCGCTACAGAATAAAACGCTTGGCAGAGTATACTGACCAACAAAGACTAGCTGTGAGTATTATATTATTTTTGTTTCATAGATATTATATTTCTTTATGTATGGCTTATAATTCCTGTCACACTGCAATACTATGTATGTCCCCTTAGGATCCACCCCTCAAGAACATTGCTGGTAAATCACTTACCTCAAAAGTTGAGCTTTTTTTAAATACATGAGCCTTTTTCGATAAATGAGTAAGTAGAGACCGGAAGTAGACGGGCAGCCAGAGAAGCTGACATAACATACAAACATCACAATATAGACAAACATCACTTTGAGAGGTTGCCATCTCCAACAGTGACTGCACCCCTTTTATGTCCGCTGCTGCAATTCTTCCTTCTTGCTTTTGAATGTTATGAGACATCCTTCTCGGAATCGAATGAAACAGGGTAAAGCCAACCAGTGTTTTCTGTTGTTGTTTTCCCCATTTCTGCGCAGTTCGCAAGAGGAGAGTGGAAGGAGACCATCCGTAAATCTTCCTGCCGCCAGATGTGCAAAATGCGGAGGACGCGGAGCTCCCCGACTACATCTGCTTTGCTTGGGCTTCCACCACCCCAAGATTTCTTCTTACCTGGGTAGAAGGGAAAAGACTGGAATTGCCATTCCTCTTTGTTTGTTTCCTCCTTTTGTGTCCTTGGGACTTAATGTGGTAATGTTCTATTGTTATATATGATAACCAACGCCTGAATATCTTTTGATCCCCATCCGGCCAAGATCGTTTCTTGAAAAACCCTTTTCTTTCCAAACTTGGGGAAGATGCCTTCCAGAAAGATAAGCACCAATGCTGAAATCTGTATCACATGCAGTCAGCGAGCAAATGGATCTAAACCAGTGGTTCTCGACCTTCCTAATGCCGCGACCCCTTAATGCAGTTCCTCATGTTGTGGTGACCCCCAACCACAACATCATTTTTGTTGCGACTTCATAACTTCATGAATCATAATGTAAATATATACGCAGCATGTATTTTCATTCACTGGACCAAATTGGGCACAAATACCCGATACACCCAAATTTGAATACTGGTGGGATTGATTTTGTCATTTGGGAGTTGTAGTTGCTGGGATGAATAGTTAAATTCAAAGAGCATTCTGAACTCCACCAACGATGCAATTGAACCAAACTTGGCACACAGAACTCTCATGACCAACAGAAAATACTGGAAGGGTTTGGTAGGCATTGACCTTGAGTTTGGGAGCTGTAGTTCACCTAAGGGGACTCGAGGCAGCTAACATGAGGCCAAGCCCAAAGATGCAATACAGCAAAATAAAATACAAAATGTAGACAACAAAAATACATCCGAATAAAATGCATACAGTTGCAAAATAAAATAAATAAAGCAAATTGACATAATATAAGTTTACTACAAGCTGTTATGGAGCCCCCGGTGGCGCAGTGGGTTAAATCCCTGTGCTGGCAGGACTGAAGACCGACAGGTCGCAGGTTCGAATCCAGGGAGAGGCGGATGAGCTCCCTCTATCAGCTCCAGCTCCTCATGCGGGGACATGAGAGAAGCCTCCCACAAGGATGATAAAAAACATCAAAAAATCATCTGGGCGTCCCTGGGCAACGTCCTTGCAGACGGCAAATTCTCTTACACCAGAAGCGACTTGCAGTTTCTCAAGTCGCTCCTGACACGACAAAAAAAAAAGCTGTTAGGATTTCTGGGAAGGAAATGGCAGGGAGGGGGCTTGGGGAGAACCCCCTCTCTCCTGGTCTGCCCACCTTGTTCCAGCCCACCATTCGACCCCCAAGTCAGAAAGTTTGCCCAGTGTAATTATATACTAAGGCAGTGGTTCTCAACTTGTGGATCCCCAGATATTTTAACCTTCAACTCCCAGAAATCCTTACAGCTAGTAAACTGGCTGGGATTTCTGGGAGTTGTAGGCCAATAATAATAATAATAATAATAATAATAATAATAATAATAATACTTTATTTGTACCCCTCTAACATCCCTAACATGGAGCCCCCGGTGGCGCAGTGGGTGAAAGCACTGAGCTGCTGAGCTTGTTGATCGAAAGGTCGCAAGTTTGATTCCGGGTAGCGGCGTGAGCTTCCGCTGTCAGCCCTAGCTTCTGCCAACCTAGCAGTTTGAAAACATGCAAATGTGAGTAGATCAATAGGTACCGCTCCTGCAGGAAGGTAACGGCGCTCCATGCAGTCATGCCGGCCACATGACCTTGGAGGTGTCTACGGACAACGCTGGCTCTTCGGCTTAGAAATGGAGATGAGCACCACACCCCAGAGTCAGACATGACTGGACTTAATGTCGGGACTACCTTCACCTTTAACATCTCCCCAAGGGACTCGGTGCGGCTTACATGAGGCCAAGCCCACGGCACATCAATAAACAAAGGTGATAACAATCAATACAACAGCTAAAAAAACTCTCAAAAACAAAAAATAAACAATAAGCAATAAACAATAACAATAGAATACAGCATTTTAAAACCTATGTAATAATTGAAATTTAATATTTAAAATGCTGGGGCATGAACAAGGCAGGGTAAACTAGGATAGGATTTTCAGAGAGAAATGAGGGAACGCCATCAATCCTAAATCAGTATTAAAGTGCATTATGAGGGCATATTGCTGAGAGTTCTCCTTATTCTGGGAAGGCACACTGGAACAACCACGTTTTCAGGCTCCTCCTAAAGACTGCCAGTGTTGGGGCATGTCTGATGTCCTTAGGGAGTGAATTCCAATGTCGAGGGGCCACCACTGAGAAGGCCCTCTCCCTCGTCCCCACCAATTGCGCCTGTGAAGGAGGTGGGAGCGTGAGCAGGGCCTCTCCACAAGAGATCGTGTGGGTTCGTACACAGTAATGCGGTCACGCAGGTAGTCGGGTCCCAAACCGTTCAGGGCATTGTAGGTAAGAACCTGCAATCTTGAATTGGGACCGGAAAATGAATGGCAGCCAGTGGAGCTCCTTAAACAGGCCAACACAATTGGAGACCCACAGGTTGAGAATAGTAAAGGAATAGTAAAATTGTTTATACAATCATAGAATCCTAGAGTTGGAAGTCCAGTCCAACCCCTTTCTGCCAAGAAGCAGGAAAATTGCATTCAAAGCACCCCCGACAGATGGCCATCCAGCCTCTGTTTCAAAGCCTCCAAAGAAGGAGCCTCCACCACACTCCGGAGCAGAGAGTTCCGCTGCTGAACGGCTCTCACAGTCAGGAAGTTCTCTCTCATGTTCAGATGTTCAAACTCCTTTCTTGTAATTTGAAGCCATTGTTCCACGTCCTAGTCTCCAGGGCTGCAGAAAACAAGCTTGCTCCCTCTTTCCTATGACTTCCTCTAGAGAACAATTATTAAAAATAAAATAGGGAACAATTATTAAAATAGAGAATAAAAGAGTTGGAGAGAACCTGGAGAGAAGCTACAGCAGGAGAGGCCTATACATCAGGTTTTCCTTTGGGGTTGCTTTTGACTATTTTTGAGCAGCGGTTGGTTGAATCTGCGGATGCGGAATCCATGGCTGCACCAGGACGTGTCCAAGTTTGAGAAGGCGGCTGTATAGTTTCTCTTCCATCTCGATGCATGTGCGCACCACATGTTCCTTCGTCTCTTATACCCACTTGCTGGGAAACAGTTGGGAAAACAAACCTGTGTTTTCTTTTGCGGTTTGCACGACTTGAACAACGGTCAACAAACGAGAAGAGCAATAATATTTTTTTTTTCGGCAGGATCAACACGTTCATGTGAAATGTGTCTCGGTGAAATGCAACTCCTTCAAAATACTTGAACCTGATTTTGGAAAATTTAAGGACTGCAGAGCTCTGCCTTGTGGTTTATTTTTATTTTTGTGTTTGTTTGCATCTATAGCATGCCGGATGTTTGAGGAAACCTATTTCGTTAGGCCGTGATGCTATCAAATGAAAGTAGTTTGACACTACTTTAACCTCACAACTTCTGAGGATACTTGCCACAGAGGCAGGCGAAACGTCAGGAGAGAATGCTTCTAGAACATGGCCAGACAGCCTGAAAAACCTCCAACAACCCACTACTTTAACTCTTATGAATCAGTTCTATGTACTCATGGGAGTTCTGTTTTGACAAGATCTTTGGCCTTCTCTCCCAAAGAGTGCGGGTACCTAACCAAACTGCAAATCCCAGGATTCCAAAGCATTGCTCCATGGCAGTCCAAGTGGTGCCAAACTGCATTTAATTTATAGCGTAGATCAGGCATGGGCAAACTTCGGCCCTCCAGGTGTTTTGGACTTCAACTCCCACAATTTCTCTCTGAGTGATACGACGATCTCTTGAATCAATCTGTCAACCTTTTGCTTGTGAAACTCAGTGGTTGCTGTCACAGGACATCCAACTCTTTGTCATGCAAGTCAGATGTTCCCACCTCAACATCTTTAAACTTACTCACCCAACAACGCACAGTACTCACATCAACACAATCACCATAAGCAGCTTGCATTCTGGTTGGTGTCACAGGACGTCCAACTCTGTCATGCAAGTCAGATGTTCCCACCCCAACATCTTTAAACTTTCTCGCCCAACAATGCACAGTACTCACATCAACACAATCACCATAAGCAGCTTGCATTCACTAATGAATCTCCTTTGGGGTGACACCTTCTGCTGTCAAGAATTCAACAACTGCACGTTGCTTAAGTCGCATTGACCGACCGTCTGCGCAGGGTTCCATACTTCGCACTTTAACAACACTACCATTTAATGCTAAAGCTTCCAGCCAAAATGGAACTGTAGAGGAGAGTCTACAGAACAAGCCACTACCTGCGGTATACCAGTACTGCCATCTGTTGAGTTACGCAGGTGGAGGCATTACTTTTCATTCAACCCTCGTACAAACTTGAATCCAATGCTGGTGAGTTAGCTTGATGGAACAGATCAGGGAGGAATTGTTTAAGGCAGCCCTCTCCTACTCACTTCAATATATCCACAACCTCCCCAAATTTGCTCCAAATGGTTGGAGTAGTCTTAGGGCTCGTATCATAGATTGGGGCTGCGGTGGCGTAGCTGATTAAACAGCTGAGCTGCTGAACTTGCTGATCAGAAAGGTTGGTGGTTCGAATCCACAGGGCAGGGGTGAGCTCCTGCTGATAGCCCCAGCTTCTGCCAACTTAGCAGTTCGAAAACATGCAAGCATGAGTAGAACTATAGGTACCGCTCCAGGGGAAGGTAATGGCACTCTATGCAGTCATGCCGGCCACATGACCGTGGAGGTGTCTATGTTCAACGCTGGCTCTTCGCTTCGAAATGGAGATAAGCTCCACCCACCAGAGTCGGACTTGACTAGACTTAATGTCAAGGGTAAACCTTCACTTTTACCTTTTTAGCAGTGAGTTAAACCACTGAGCTGCTGAACTTGCTGACCAAAAGGTCGCAGGTTCAAATCTGGGGAGCGGCATGAGCTCCCACTGTTAGCCCCAGCTTCTGCCAGCCTAGCAGTTCGAAAACATGCAAGTGTGAGTAGAACAATAGATACTGCTCCGGGGGAAGGTAATGGCGCTCCATGCAGTCATGCCAACCACATGACCATGGAGGTGTCTATGGTCAATGCCAGCTCTTCACTTCGAAATGGAGATGAGCATCACTCCCAACTAGACTTAATGTCAAGGGGAAACATTTACTTATCATAGATTGCAGAAGAAATCACTGTAAATTTCCTCTTCCGTTCCACTGATAGTAGTCCTGAACAGATACAACTCAAAACTACCTTAAAACAAAACGATTAAGACTCTCGTCCTGTGATGGAGGGCTTTTATGTGTTCCAAATTGAAACCATAACTGCAAAGCTTGGAAAAATCGTCCAGCATCCCCTAGATAAGCAGATTCTGGGAAATGTAGTCCAAACAGTGCCTTTTCTTCTCTCTGATTACCGTGGATGGGCAGGAGTGTCTTGTGGTCAGCCGGTGCTAAAACTAACTAAAACCAAAGCATGAGAGATGCTTGAACTGTGTCACACTGTTGGAAACCAAGCATGGGGGAATCCATGTATCTGTGATTTTTCCTATTTCATGCAGCTTGGGTGGCAACTTTGGGATCCAAGGGTGTTAGTTCTATATGTAGCCATCGGATAATAATATTATAATTTCTTGCATGCCTAATATAAGCTCAAAATTACCAGAGGAAGGGAAAACACAAGCCATTCGTAGATATTTATTATTATCTGTTTTGTAATGGAGGGATGTTTGTCCAGTCAACCCATTCTGTTGGTGTTGTACTTCCCAGTATGAAAAGTTTGAGTTAAAGATTGAATTGTGCAGCCTTCTAGATGCTTTGTGCTGCAAATCCCAACCACCCTATAAGCTAGGCATGGGCAAGCTTTGGTCCTCCTGGGGTTTTGGACTACAACTCCCACAATTCCTAACAGCCGGTAGGCTGTTAGGAATTGTGGGAGTTGTAGTCCAAAACCCCAGGAGGACCAAAGTTTGCCCATGCCTGCTATAAGCAGAATAGCAGGTGTGTTGTCGAAGGCATTCATGTCCGGAATCACTGGGTTGCTGAGTGGCCAAACGTCAGGAGAGAATGCTTCTGGAACATGGCCACACAGCCCGGAAAACTCACAACAACCTAGTATAGCAAATATTGCAAAATGTTGGGTGTTGCAGTCCAACCACTTCTAAATGCCCATCCCTGGGGCAAGTTCTGCCGTCTTGCAACCTAAGAATGGGGAACATGCGGTCTTTGGGATGCTCTTGGACTACAAATCCCATCAGTACTAGTCAGTCTAGCTGATGTTAAGAGTTGATGGGAGTGGTAGGACAGTAGTCATTCATTCCTAACCACGATCCTGTACTTTCCAAATGTTTGGGGTGACTGTTTTGATAATTACTGCCTGGGTTTCGTGGGAGATATTGCCCAAAACGTTCATCGAGGTATTATCTTCCATTTCATAACAATCTGAGTATTTAATTGCATCTAAAACCAGGGGTCCTTCTGGATTGGTCGCTAGCATCCCAAAACTACCAACTGTGTCTTAGGAGAAGCAGGCACCCATCATCCCCATCGCTGTTCTCCAAAACACAACAAACTAATGCAAGGAAACTCATTTTGCCATGGAAGAATTCTGCAAAACGTCGTGTGCCTTCAAGTCTTATAGCAACCTACCGGAGGGGTTTCTCAGCAAGATTGGTTCAGAAGAGCCTTGACGTGTGACTTGCCAAGGTTACTTAGTGGATTTCCTAGCCGAATAGGGATTTGAACACATATCATGTTCAAACCACTATACCTCACTGTTTCCCTCTTTGGTGACAAGGATGCCCAAACAATTGCACGTTCTGTTCATGTATATTATTATTATTATTTGTCTTTTCAGTGGTAAGTGAAAGCTTTCAAGTCAGGAAGTTTAATGCAATGTTATTTTCTGGCTTTGAAGCTTGCATTTAAGGCGCGTAAACATCACCCTTCCTATTTGTTGATTCAGAGGTAAATATGGGCCAGTTTCCCAAGAGGTGAACTTCTGTATTGTCGAAGGCTTTCATGGCTGGAATCACTGGGCTGTTGTAGGTTTTTTGGGCTATATGGCCATGTTCTAGAAGCATTCTCTCCTGATGTTTCGTTTGCATCTATGGCAAGCATCTTCAGAGGTTGTGAGGTCTCACAACCTCTGAGGATGCTTGCCATAGATGCAAGCGAAATGTCAGGAGAGAATGCTTCTAGAACATGGCCATATAGCCCGAAAAACCTACAACAACCCGGGTGAACTTGTTTCCATTTTCGCAGATGAACAGTGGCTCTTGGTTGGAGAAGGGAATTTGCTTCCTTAGAATAAACCTCATATTTTTGTTGATTATCTTTATATTCTGAT